TCGCGCACACGAGTCGCGGTTTTTCTTCTCCGTTTCGGGATTTGATCAGCACCCCCTGCGCGTGAGAGAGCCTTTACCTTTAGGAATCTTAACTCCTTAAAAGAGACTTCCCTTTATAAGGGGGTGAAAATCCCTTGAGTTTTCCGGTGTGGGATAAAACACACTATAAACTCATCATTTCCCCAGTTTTTCCATTTCAACGAGTGAACTTCGAGAATCGATTTCTCATTCACCCGTTATCCGTTTCGAGCGTACCATATATCGAATTGTATCCCTTAACAAGGACAATCCGAAACCACTTTGACCCGACCCAAATCGGAAGTGGACCCCACTCAAATAATTGCCCCAAAATGACCATTTAATGCAATTTTTAACACATTTTTCCAACAGTACAATACTAACTCAGCTAGCTTTATACTTCTATTTTTAATTATGGGTCAGTTTCTATTTGCAAAAAAAAACAAATTATGGTCAGTTTCTAGTGTCCAAAATCTAAGATCTACTCTGTATATCATAATGAAATAATGGATGTGTACGTGAAACAAGGGGTGGATGAAAGGGTCAAAGCGACAATAGTTGTGCTCAAATTCCGGACTGTTTGTTTACGTGCAAACTTGATGGGGTTCCTTCTGGACTTGGGAAAGAAAATTGTCGGATTGAATCAGCCCTTGACCAGTCAATCATTTCTTTATAATTACTGCATTTTACTTCATCAGTAAGTTTCGCGTTTGACTCAGACACATATTTATGTACTCCCTCCACCCCGAATTAAATTACGAACTTTAATTGGTATAAGGATTAAGAAATGATAATAAATGATGTTTGCTTTTTACACTTTTGTCCAACTTTCCAAAAGTAGATGCCTTTAAGTTAATGGGGAAAAAGTAAAAATATGAGTAAATTTGTCACTTTATTCTTATTTACATACCTAAAATAGAAAGTAGAAAATCATTTTGGGACAACCAAAAAAGGAAATTTTACAAATCAAATTGGGACGGAGGGAGTAAGATATACTCTCTGGTTTTGTTTTGACCTAACAAGTGTACTTTTACTTTATGTTAAATCAAGCAAAAAGTAAGTAAAAATTAAGGGTACTTCTAAGTTTTGAGATAACTGTGCTTTCCTTTTATAAAAATGAGAATTTCTTTTTGGGATATCTATAAAAGCAAAATGTGAACTTTTTTTCGGACGGCTGTAATGTTATTTACTCTTACCCTTCCGTCCCAAAAAACATTTACCAAACCGACTTTTCTTGATCAATATTAAATAAATTTGATAAATGATATTTTTAATACGAAATTATTTTTAGGGAAAATCGCATATATGGTCCCTCAGTTATTCACGAAATTAAAATCTCAGACCTGTATTTCTGTTATTTTAAATGTCACCTCTCAATTGTCCAAATTGTTGTAAATGTGGTCCTTTAAGTGGTGAAATGTACTCTCACCTACATTGTATATTTCACCGCTCAAAAGAACCACATTTACAGTATTTTGTACAATTGAGGGGTGACATTTACAATCTCAGAAATACATGTCTCAGATTTTAATTTCGTGGATAATTGAGGGACCATATATGCGATTTTCCCTTATTTTTAACATTAAAATTATATTAACATGTTCCTTCACTACTACATTTTTAGACCTAATGTAACATTAATGATGTAACATATCTATAATAGTGTTACCTATTTCTCTAATGTAACACTTTTTAGACCTAGTGTAACACTTTCTAGAAGTATAAGGGTTACATTAGGTACTATAAAGTGTTAGAATAGGTCAAATGCAACACCAGCAAATGTAATGGTAAAACAATGTTACATTTGCTCTGAAAAGTGTTACATTAGAGAAAATGTAACATTTTTTTACCATTACATTTGATGGTGTTGCATTTGACCTATTGTAACACTTTATAGTACCTAATGTAACACTTATACTTCTAGAAAGTGTTACATTAGGTCTAAAAAGTGTTACATTAGAGAAATAGGTAACACTATTATAGATATGTTACATCTCTAATGTTACATTAGGTCTAAAAATGTAGTAGTGCTTATTCAATATATTTTTTTTTACAAATATTAAATATATAAGTTATATACAAACATACTAATTAAAGCCATTATCCAAAGTATGTTGAGCAAAAAAAGTTAATGTGACAAACTTTTTCGGAACATGATTTAATTTAATTTAAGTGCCTTGACATGAGTGATTTTATTTGCACCTGATTTAAATGAGTGAATGGTATTATTTAATTTAATTACCTTGACATGAGTAATTTAATTTGCACCTCATTTAAACGAGTGAATGGTATTATAATATAAGATAATAAATCAAGCCATAAATGTAAATTTATAAGTATTAGTGTACACTATGTGGAAAAAATTAAAATCCTATTAGTTTTGCTATACGTACTACATATCTGAATTAGGACTTTGCCTCGAACAAGTTCATAAAAAACTAATTCCCTTGTTTAAGGTATTTATCAACTTAATTATACGGAGTAATTAAATAGATCATGACACACTAAATTGAAAATACTAGCTTGTGTGTGGTTATGAACCATGGCTTGGAATTAGGAGTAATATAAACCACTTAATTAGTTGGAGACATTTGGTTTTCGGAAATACAACAAATTTTCTGTTGCACATTACAATAATCTTGGTTATGATTTTGCATTTCAGCGAAATAAATTTTAATTTAAACTACCGCTCCAAATGCATGTACACATCTAAATTACATGCATTAACTATAAATTGCCTTAACTAATTCCTATACTGCTCGTTATTTACTAGTTGATCTGATTAATTAGTCACTATTTAATTTACTAGGTGTCTGATTAATCTATCCATTAATTTTCCCTCTTTAGCTTCAACTATTTAATTTTCTTTTTTACTCTCTTTCGTAAATACTGTATTGATTTAATTATACACCATCTATAATTAAATATTATTAATGGTGGATAATTGGAAAATTTACACGGAAATTAAACAATTACTATGCCCATTATAATTAAATAGTGAAGCAAGTCAATATATAATTGTCCGGGTTTTTTCATTCATTTTATTAAAGATAAAGTTCAAGAAAAAAGATACATCTCTTTTTAAAATATTTCAAAATATGATTAAATATGTTGCTAGCTTTTTGTAAAAAATTAAAATAACCCGATTCAACATGTACTTAAATGATACAAATTACATCTTTATGATTAAAATAAAGATTATTTACACAAATGTGACTAATGATTATATTAGTAATGGAATCATAGTAATTTAAGTTCAATTTTTAAACTTAAGTTACCATTACACTACAATGTAGTAACTATTAATAATATTTTTGTAAATAAGTTTTATTTTAGTAACATTTTTGTAAGACACTCTTTTTTCAAATGTAGGATTGATTATACGTTCAACATAATTAATAGACTCGAATCAATAATAATTCTCAACTACGGGGGATGTATTGAATATGGATTGTGGTGAATTTTTTTTAATCCGTGGACTTTTAAAAAAGTCAATGGACTTTTAAATCCATAGACTTTTTTATGAATGAATTCTATGGACTTTTAAATCCATGGATAAGTTTATTGACTTTCAAAATGTCCATAGACTTTTAAATGCGAACCACCACTGCTGGTCGTCGAAATTTTCACCTAGACCGCCGCTACCGATCTGCCCGTCCGCCTCCGTCACTTGAGTTCCCCGCTATCGTCATCGGACTGATCCGCCACCAACAAAGTCGATTTGGTTATGCAAGGGAATTATGGATAATTACTTATATTAATTAATTAAATTAGGGGTGAATATGTAATATTTAGTCCTATTTAAGGAAAATCAAACATATGATCATACTTTAAGAAGAATGCTACTCCGTATGTTTTAGTCCTACCCTGAATAATTTCCTCTGTATAATACAAAGTATGATATGAAACAAATAAACAAACAAACAAATAAATAAATAAATGAAACAAATGTAATTCATATAGCAACACAAAGTTCTACAAGAATAAATGAAGCATAAGAATCCAAATTTATTTTTATTAAAAAAACTCAAAGTTTCAAGAATGCTCAAGAATTTTGGTCATTTTATTGATGAGTAATCGTTACACTCATTGCTACATGTGGTACAAGCACAGTTGCAATCTTCTTAATAATTGTTTTCTTTTCATTTCTATCTTGTAAAATTTTGTGTACTTATTTACGGTTATATATTTATTAATTTGAAATTATATTTTTATGTGTTAGCGATTTAACGATGAAAGAAAGTAATAGTTAAAATATTTATTTTCTTAATGGTTAAGTGACGACGTACCAGAATTGCACTGATGTAATATTATCGATTCTTATATCAGTTCTTCTAGAAACTTCTAGAATCAAACCAGTATGGGATTAACGAATCGAGGGGGTGGGACAAGCTGAAGAAGAAAAAGAATGAAAGGAGAGGGGTGGAGCGAGCTAGGCTGAAGAAGAAGAAAGATCGAAGGGAAAGGGGTGATTTGACTAAAGAAGAGGAGAGTTGGCGGTGTGGGGGACAGGATGAAGAACCGATATAAGAAAAGTCCATGGAAATCTTTAGTGGGGAGAAGAGACAATCGAAGAGAATTAATGTACTAAAAATGAGTTAAAAGTCCACGGGAATCCATGATTTTAGAAATCCATAAGAATGAACGGAACTTTGAATATGCCTAGACTTTTATAGACTTTTAAAAGTCTACATTGAATACACCTAAACTTTCAAAATCCATGGAGTTTTAAAATTTTACTAATTACTATTCCACCTTCTAAATTCTTATATTGTTAAATAATTCTTTCACATTTTAATTTCTCTATATTTTAAAACTTTATTAATGTATGTGCGAAACCCAACATGATAACAAGTTAACAACTACAATATTAAAAAAAAACCATGGAAGGGGTGATATCATCATTTAATTTACTCAACCCTACGTACTATTTAAAGAAACCCTCTAGTGCTGTACTAGTGCCTCATTAAATTTCTTCTAGTTATTTAGCTATCTAGCTTAATTATTTCTTTTCCATTTCGATCAACTCATCTACTAATTCCAATATAATTTCGTTAATTTTCATAAATAATGTCTAGTAGAAGAACATCAAGATCCAGAAACTGTGGAACTTCAAGAATATCCGATGAGCAAATCAATGATCTGGTTTCCAAGCTCCAACAGCTTCTTCCTCGTGACCTTCCCACTAATAGCTCCTCGGATAAGGTATTAATTAATTAATTAATTTTTGTGTGCAATATATATACCTTAATTAATTTGTATCATAGTTAACAACACGTACACATATATGAACTTCAATCACTTTAATTAAGAGTTTAAGTAACAAGTACGTAAGTCCTGGGGTTCGAATCATCTCACTTTTAACTTAATTATATGTATTGAAATAATTCAAACAATAATTTCTGATCTATAGTAAGAAACATCATATAGTACGTAGAAAAACACCATATTGATATATATTGACCATGATTTCGAACTGCAGCAATAATAATTAATATCTTTTTAATTCATTATAAACTAAACTAATTAAAAGTGACTAATTGATATAGAAAATTATACATTAAATTAAGTCTCTTGACTTATGTGCGTATCTTTTTTTAGTCCCATAACTAATTTAGATTACATTTACTGATTTATTCCTATAGTTAATAAATTACTCTATATGAACAATTTTTCCACCGGGATGTACGACTCCCGGAGGAAAAGTTGATGCTAGAAAATATACTTTCTAGTGAAAAAGTTCTTAAGATTGATAAATATATCAATTACCGGATCAAATATGCAAAGTTACAGGACTAAAAGTGGGCACAATAATCAAAAGTTACTACTCCCTCCATCTCATTTTAGTTAGTCAAACTTGACTTTTCAAGTCAATGTCCTCTAACTTCGACCGATTATATATTTATATAAAGAATATATTCATAATATGAAAATTGTATGAAAATGTTCTTTGTTAAAAATATTATCATAAAAGTATAAAATTATTAAATTTAACATAAATACATTACTTAAAATAATTGGTCAAAGTTTATCATCTTTGACTGAAAAAGTCAGATATGGCTAAATAACTAAATTGGGACGGAGGTAGTACAAGATTAAAATAGTAAATCTCCCCTAATTGATAAGTAAATATTTAAGGATCGGAATTGCTCGAAGTAAGGTTAAAACATGAGCACAGTTTGAAAATAAAATTAATTATGTTGCATTCCCAAAATAACACTTACTCATTAGTCCTAATAAAAAATTGAAAAGAAAAAGAGAATTTCCCTCTTTCAAGAGTGGAATCCATGGATGGGAGTACAAGGGATTTTTTCCAAAATAAGAGTAAAAACAAGGTCTTTTTTCATGAATATTCCTATATTAATTTCAAAAGACAAAAATATGATTTATTTTAAAAAAATAAAAAAAAGTGACATATTTAGTAACTAGTTCACAATTACTCGTCATCTACAGTGGCATGTCATTCTAAAATACACTACAGTAACTAGTTCATAGTGACTAGTCATATTTTTATCTAAAAACATAACTTCTCGTAATTTTGTGCAGAAAAACTCTATTAGTAATATATATGTCATTTTTTCTAAAAAGAAAGTGAAATTTCAAAATAGAAGTATTAAAAGCATGTTTTCTCATAAAAATAGTTCTTAGTTGTTCCTACTTAATAAATAGAACAATAAAAGATTTCCAAATTAGAAGTGGATGGGTAAGTCTTATACGAAGTATATTTTGGGAAGAAACAGTGGTACTTTAATTTTATTTGAATAAATATGTTGTGTCGTTGTGGTTTACTTTTATTTAGAGAACTTTCTCATCAATTTAATAGTATATAATGTTTAATATGTGGATTGTGAATTATATTTGTGATGATATTGTTTAGATCATACTTAATTAGCTCGTGTGAGCTTTGGATTGTTTGACCTATACTGAATGAAATAAATTTAACCGATCGATGAAAATTGTTACAATAGTGATGCAAAAATACTCAATAACAAATTAAAATTAATCCCAGAGCTCCAGAAGTTGTCATTAATAGAAATAAAAAAAACTGTGAAATACTAATATAGGAATTTAGTGAACATTGGATTATTTACGACAATTTATTTGTCGTAAATAAAAGTAGTTTCTGTCATCGTGTTCAAAGTTTAAATCATAGTCATTGTATTATACTCCTAGTAATTTTGAAAACACTCATAGTCATTAAAAATTATCAAGTCACATTTTTATCCACCACTTTTTTAGGAGTTATATTAGTGAATTTTTCTTAATCAATTAGTTGTATATAGGTTTATTCTGCTAAAACTTTCCTTTTATAATTTGCAGGTATCAACACAAATGGTGTTGCAAGAGACATGCAACTACATAAGACGGTTGCACGCAGGGGTTGATGACTTGAGCGAACGCTTATCTGAGTTACTGGATGCCACGGATTCCACTCAAGCTGCTGCTCTTATCAGAAGCTTAATTGCACATGTGATAAATAATTAATTAATAGAATTTGTTTATTATAGAATCAAAATAAAGACAAAGGTAAAAAAAGAACTTAGTATCCTTTATTCCTCAAATATGACATAATTAGTCCTATTAATTATTTAGTCCTCAAAATATATCCAAGTCTGATCTGGTCTGGTCTGGTTTCTTTGTATTTTTATAACTATCCAAGTCTAGTCTGAACTGGTCTGGTCTGAACGGGTCTGGTCTGGTCTGATCTGGTCTGATCTGGTCTGGGATGAATTACAATCCAAGTAAAAACAACCATAGACAAAGGTCAAAAAAAATCTTTATATTTTGGAAAGGAAAAAATAATTAAAATACCTCAAACTTTGAACGAGTGTGAGATAAAATCCTAAACTTGCATGTATAATTTAAATACTTCAAACTTTACATAAAAAGTTATTTTAACACAATGGTCATAAATTAATTTAAAACTTATGATCATATAATTCATGGTGAGAATTATATGTTCACGATGCTAACATAACTATTTATATAAAGTCCCGGATATTGAAATTACGTATGCAAATTTGTAGTGTTTACCTCACATCCCTTTAAAATTTGGGGTATTTTAATTATTTTCTCTTTTGGAAATAGCATAATTGTAGTCTTGTCGATAATTTTTTTCTATACAATGTGATGCACAATATAATGTCTAGACGCAGATATATATTATGATTGATTTTGTTAAGAAAAAATTACCAAAAATAAATAAAACTGTAAAATGAATGAGAGAGAATTGTCATGAATTTATTTTTGTGTGTATGTTTTTCTCATGTGACATATGTACCGTGCATATTGTAGCATTAGAGATACTCTAACGTACTTCTATTCGTTAAGTTCCTCAAATATGTTGGTTGATGAATTAGTAAATACAAATTAAAGTCATACATTCATGTTTAATTTCTTAATAATCTTCTCAAGTATTTATTTGGTAATTAAGTCCATGCACAAATGCACCATCCGAATTAAATTAATAAAAGAAATGGAAAACATGACTAAAATTAACATGACATCATCTATTGAATAAGATCAATAGAGACGACCCTAGTAACTCACTAACTCGGGAAGGTCTAGTTGAGAAGAGAAATTACCGACGCTATCCTTAAGCTCCTACTTGGTTGAAACGAGATGAAGGAAGCCGCGAGTCAATTTAAGATGGCCATGGATTAAAAACTCCGGATGATCCTTGCATACGGAGAGGTAGGTTTTATCCTTTGAACCTTCCGTTGTAAAGACACGTTTATTTACTGGCTGTCTAGTAGACTCGATGTCCTTGAACTATACTGCCGTCGTGTAAACATTGACTTATCTTTACACAAGAACCTTTCAACTTTGTTCCGTTCTCATGAGTGCGCCCGTTTTGGCCATGGGTCACCGTGCTGGTTCTGCAAGAGTTTCTAAAGAACTGAGCCTTTACAGTTCTCCTTTGAAGCGGCCCTCTTCTCTCTCACATAGGTGATTCTTTCACGAGTATCCCGCATACTCTTCCAATATTATCGAGTAGATCAGCATTTTAGAATCATTAAAGCAAACGTTTTTGCTAACCTCGTGCGGGAGTCACTGTTTTAACGAGGAGTAGGTAGGAGTCCGGGACCCCCACAGTGACCATCATTCGCTCTATAATTTAGTTGTCCCTTTTGAACCTAGGACCAACTAGGTTGGGTATCCACTATAGAACTTTTCAATTCACGGGCTTTAGTCCCATTCCTCGTGACAACTTCTCCAACAATTCTCTATCCAATGCCTTGGTTAGCGGATCCGCTATGTTATCCTTTGACTTCACGTAGTCAACAGTGATAACACCCATTGTGAGGAGTTGTTTAATGGTGTTATGTCTACGACGAACGTGTCTAGACTTACCATTGTACATATTGCTCTGTACCCTTCCAATTGCCGCTTGACAATCGCAATGTATGCATATTGGAGGGACAAGCTTTTCCCAACTTGGAATATCCTCGAGAAAATGGCGTAGCCATTCAGCCTCTTCAGTGCACTTATCCAAGGCTATTAGCTCAGATTCCATCGTGGATCTAGCTATTAACGTTTGTTTCGAGGATTTCCACGACACGGCTGCACCTCCCAAAGTGAAGACATATCCACTTGTGGACTTAGAGTCCTTTATGTCGGATATCCAACTAGCGTCGCTATACCCTTCAAGTACAGCTGGATATCTTCCATAGTGCAGTCCAAGGTTTTGGATTTTACGTAAATACCTCAAAACCCTTACTATTGCCTTTCAGTGTTCATCACCGGGGTTGCTAGTATATCTACTTAGCTTACTAACCACAAAGGCAATATCAGGCCTAGTACAACTCATTAGATACATCAAGCTTCCAATAATCCTAGCGTATTCTACTTGAGAAATACACTCTCCACGATTTTTGGTAAGTTGTACGTTTTTATCTAATGGAGTCCTTGCCTCTTGATAATCATCCTTATTAAATTTCGTAAGGATTTTATCAACGTAATGGGATTGGCTTAGCGTAAGACCGTCAGGTCCTCTAATTATTTTAATCCCAAGGATTAAATCGGCCAGCCCCATATCCTTCATGTCAAATTTAGAATTTAACATGCTTTTGGTAGAATTAATCATTAGATTATTGCTACCCACGATGAGTATATCATCCACGTATAAACATAAAATGACATAGCCGTCTACCGTGCTCTTTACATAGACGCATTTGTCACTTTCGTTTATTTTTCCTTTCTTGGCCTGGAACACGAAAGCCCTCGGGCTGTTTGTTCCATATAGATTTCTTCGTCTATATCGCCATTTAGAAAAGCGGTTTTTACGTCCATTTGATGAACTTCCAATTTCCGCAATGCGGCAATTGCTAGTATCATCCTAATGGAATTTATTCTCATCACAGGAGAATATGTGTCAAAGTTATCATGGCCCTCACGTTACTTGTATCCCTTGATTACAAGTCTGGCCTTGTACTTATCGATGGAACCGTCAGGTTTCATTTTCCATTTAAAAATCCACTTGGATCCCAAAGGTTTATTTCCCGGAGGAAGATCAACCAATTCCCATGTGTGATTTTTAAGGATAGAATCCACCTCACTTTTGATGGCTTCTTTCCACATAGGACCTTCGGTAGACGTCACGGCTTCCGTATAAGTCCGTGGTTCATTTTCTACTAAACATGTTAGAAAATCCGGTTCATTTTCTACCATACATGTTAGAATATCCGAGTCAAATTCTACCAGGTAGGTGAGAAAATCCGGTCCGAAGGATTTTTCAATTCTAGCACGTTTGCTATGTCTGGGTTCGGGTTCTTCTCCGGATCCCTCGCTAGTATTTTCCATAGCTACGTCAAATGTTCGTTTTGACGTGCTAGGCCCATCGTTGGACTTGCATGGAAATACATTTTCAAAGAATGAGGCATTCCTTGATTCAATTATTGTGTTTTTATGTACATCCGGATTATTCGAATCGTACACTAAAAACCGATAAGCACTACTATTTTGTGCATATCCAATAAAAATACAATCCACCGTTTTTGGATCTATTTTTATTTTCTTAGGTGTTGGTACAAACACCTTAGCAAAACACCCCCACACTTTTAAATATTGATAGGAAGGCTGTCTGCCTTTCCACAACTCGTACGGAGTTTTATCATATTTTTTCCGGGGAACCTTATTTAAAAGGTGATTGCTTGTCAAGATTGCTTCACCCCACATATTTTGTGGCAAGCCCGAACTTACTAGCATCGCGTTCATCATATCTTTCAATGTGCGATTCTTTCGTTCGGCAACACCGTTTGATTGAGGTGAATAGGGTGCGGTACGTTCGTGTACTATACCCACACTGGCACAAAAGTCACTAATTGGTGCTTCATACTCACCACCTCGATCACTCCTAACCGTCTTAATCCGTCGATTAAGTTGGTTTTCCACTTCATTCTTATAAAGAATGAATTTATCGATTGCTTCGTGTTTATTTTTTAATAAATAAACGTAGCTATAGCGAGTGCTATCATCGATAAAGGTAATAAAATATTTATTACCGTCACGTGTTGTATTGATTTAAAATCACAAACGTCACTATGAATTAATTCAAGTGGTTCCGTTTTTCTTTCAACCGATTTGAAAGACGTTTTCGTTAGTTTTGCCTCTACACAAACTTCACTTTTGTGCTTCACATCAATTGTGAATTTAGGAATGTGCTCCATGTTAATTAATCTACGTATAGAATTAAAATTAACATGTCCTAGTCTACCATGCCACACATTGGAAGACTCAAGCAAGTAAGCAGAAGGGATTTTATTATTATTAATAATAATAGTCGTTACATTGAGCTTAAACAGCCCGTCACATGCATACCCCTTGCCCACATACATTCCCGACTTAGACAAAACTAGTTTGTCCGACTCAAAAACCATGCGAAAGCCATGTTTGTTCAACAACGAACCGGAAATCAGGTTTTTGCGTATTTCCGGAACGAACAAAACTTGGTTTAGAGTCAGCTCCTTGCCCGAAGTCATCTTCAGGACCACTTTGCCTACGCCTTCCACCGCGGAATGAGCAGAATTTCCCATCCACACCTTTTCACCATTTGATGGCTCAAAGGTCATGAATAGCTCCCGGTTTGAGCAAATATGCCGGGTAGCACCGGTGTCCACGAACCACTCCTTGGAATTGAATCCAACGAGGTTGACCTCGGTCACCACAGCCGCAAGGATGATGTCTTCATCCTTTTGCCCACCTTGCACCAAGTTCACGTGAGAATCTTTCTTCTTCCTTGGTGCCTTGCAATCCGAGGACTTGTGTCCATTCTTGTTGCAATTGAAGCATTTTCCGTTGAACTTTGTCTTGGAAACGCCTCCCTTGGGACCGAGCTTGCTCTTCTCATTATTTTTATTTTTGGAGCCTTTAGCATGCTCCACCACGTTGGCCTTGGCGCCATGAACAATTGGGAGTTTCCCATCGTTCTTCCGGTTATCCTCTTCAATCCGCAGACGGAGGATCAATTGCTCCAAGTTCATTTCCTTTTGCTTATGCTTAAGGTAGTTCTTGAAATCCTTCCAAGCCGGCGGCAATAAATGGATAATTGACGCCACTTGGAATGACTCACTAACTGTCATTCCTTCATCTCGAATTTCGTTGAAGATCATTTGCATCTCGTCAACTTGACTCAAGACCGTC